TGTGTGTGTGTGTGTGTGTGTGTGTGTGTGTGTGTGTGTGTGTGTGTGTGTGTTTAATGCACTCACTGTGGCATGAGAGATGGTGAGGATGCCTCCCTTCACTGAGCACTGTCTCCTCTGCCACACCTTCCTCAGCCTGTGAGAGGACACCCCGCACATTAGCAAGAGGTTGTCGCGTCACATCTTTGTCTGTCTTATAAATCTTAATGCTTCATGCATCACAGCCCTCCCCTTTAAGAGATACGCCAAATGCCCTTTTTAGGTCAATTTTTGTAACGATCTGACCTGCCAGTTTTAATTTGTGACATGTGTGCAACTGTTGGTGCAAATTAGCCTTGTAATGATGCTGCGTTCACAGATTAGGGAAAAAGAATCTACATTTTGAAGACTTAGCTATAAATCTGTCAGAAACAAGAAATATTAAAAAGATAATTGTTGAAAAGCAGGTCACCAGTCGAGCGTGTCAAACACAGTTTAATTTCATTCCTGTCATCTGCAGGGCGAACTGTGCATTCCTAACTTTTTAATTCTTTCTCATGATAAGTGTTTGTYGCTTACCCGTCACTCTTCTTCAGCAGGTACCCTTTCTTCTCACTTCCAAACTCTTTGTTTCCCTGCAGCTGGTGCATGCTGTAGCCACCCTGCTTACTTTGTGAGTCCTGAGAGAAGCCACACAATACAAACACATTTTAACGACATTGTTGCAAAGCCAGCTCCATAAAAACATGCAACAAAGGCCCACATACACGCTGCATACATATTTATATTAACACTAAATGTGAGGGGGCTTTCGCAAAAAATAAAAAAACAAAAATAAAAGAGAGAGAGCACTAACAGGAAAACTAAAGTCACACACAGGGCATGCTCTGCAACACCCTTACAGTCAAAGCAGTCTACTTGTGAACCACAGCATGCTCAACATGCAGCTGCACTTACTCTTCTAGACTTGATTCCAGACAAGCAGAAGGCAAAAAGGAGGAGATAGAGGGGAGAGGTGTGAAAGATCTGGCTCGAGTGCACATTGTGGGTGTTAAAAATGTGTTGTGTCAAAAAAATAATAAAAATACAACGTGCTAACTTTCTAGAAGTTACAGAAAGTGTCGATTAAATGACAATCTATGACATTTCATGCACGTAAGTGGATTGAGAGTGTTGAGAGAGTGGAAACAGCCCGTGCTGCTAAACAGAATTAGTTTTGATTTAAAGGTGTGTGTGCGTGAGGACTGGAGGGGGGAGTGAGTGGCTTTCCACTGAGCAGCCAGTGAGGCACAACACTGGTCACCAGCAAAGCCTACCACACACTGGCTACCAGCATGGTACAGCACTGGGCACTCGCTCTGTGCTGCAGGAGACAAGCTCCAACGTGGTGGTGGCCAGAGTGAGAGGAAGCGTGCGGTGAGAAGAACGACTGAATCGGAGCTGTCGCGGCAGTTTCTAGACCCGCGCAGCTCGGTTTAAGACCGGCTCGTTTAAAGTTTGGTTTAAATTTGGCTTCGTGTGGCCGGGTGTGACYTGCATACCTCCTTCTGGTCCAGCTGGAGGGAGGACTTGATCAAGTCTCGCAAAGCAGTCAGCTGCTTTTTCTCCTCGTCCTGAGTTTGTTTAATCTGTGGAGACGAAATGCAACAATGAGGGAGGAAGACAGACCACTGGCTGCTTTCACATGGGACAATTCAAATTAAATTAGATTTTAGAAACAATGTCTCCGAACACAGGATTACATGATGTAATGGAAAAATACTTTTTGTTTTAAGTCAGTAATTCTATGACTTTAATGATCCAGTTTTTAAGAGCACCCTGTTTATCGGTAGATAGAACGATTAGAGCTAACAAAATTTTCTAACAGCACTCACTCTTAGATATCACTTGTATTTGTCTCTGTATCCCCTTGACCCAGCAAGGCCCTTAGGATGAAATCATGCTTTATTAAAGGGATCCACGATTAGTTGTAATATTAGACTTTATTTGATAAAACATACGTAGTTTATCACCATATAGGCTATCACCATATATATGTATTAGCTCAGCGCTACACATTCTCCTCTCATCACTGAGG